AGTTGCCATTGAACACCAGAATTGGCAGGTCTGCCACTGGCGCCCTGTGCTTTTCACAGATGAGAGCAGGTTCACCCTGAGCACATGTGACAGACGTGAAAGGGTCTGAAGAAGCCATGGAGAACATTATGCTGCCTGTAACATCATTCAGCATGGCCGTTTTGGTAGTGGGTCAGTGATGGTCTGGGGAGGCATATACAGACCTCTACAGGCTAGACAATGGCACCCTGACTGCCATTAGGTATCGGAATGAAATCCTTGGACCCATTGTCAGACCCTACGATGGTGTAGTGGGTCCCGGGTTCCTCCTGGTGCACGACAATGCCCTTACTCATGTGGCGAGAGTATGCAGGCAGTTCCTGGAGGATGAAGGAATTGATACAATTGAATGGCTGGGGCCCCCATGCTCACCTGACCTAAATCCAATAGAACACCTTTGGGATATCATGTTTCGGTCCAGCTGATGCTGCCAGGTTGCACCTCAGAATGTCCAGGAGCTCAGTGATGCCCTGGTCCAGATCTGGGAGGAAATACCCCAGGACACCATCCGTCGTCTCATTAGGAGCATGCCCCGACGTTGTCAGACATGCATACAAGCACATGGGGGCCATACAAACTACTGAGTACCATTTTGATTTGCTGCAATGAAATTTCAGCATAATGGACGAGCCTGCTGCATCATTTTTTCACTTTGATTTTTGGGGTATCTTTGAATTCAGTCCTCTGTAGGTTGATCATTTTCATTTCCATCAAACGATAGGGCATCCTTACATTCCTAACACATTACCCAGTCCATATCAGTATAGATATCCAGCATGAGATTTTTCCCCATTGAGATCTGATGTGTTTGCAAAGTGTTCCTTTCATTCTTTTGAGCAGTGTATATTTATTTTTAATAAATCTGGAGTTTTCCTTTTTGGCTTCCCAGTAGAGGATGTGTGCCTCCTTCTAGTTGGTCGCCTGAAAAACAAAAGTAACATTTGACCCTCGTCTCTTTTCTGTGGGCCTTCTAATGGTACTTGGTACCAAATGAATGGAGTATAAACCCCTTTTTCTTTCCGGACACACATAGCCAGTGTCTGCCCCATTATATTTATCACAGTGATTTGTCATAATCAGTGCCTTGTTCAGAATAAAGCCCTCGCTCCTCTACCAGCCTAGACATCGACCTTCTGATCTCAGATTAGAGTAATTTTTTATGTCTGTTATTTACTGCCTGCTGCCATTGAAGAACTACAAGTCCCAGTTGTTGGCTGACAGGGAGTGCTGGGTCTTGTGGTGTCCTCATACGCATCTTTGATTTATGTTGTCACATATCTTCTATTATAGGAAACTCTGCTGTGCGTAGCTGGTAGTTACAATCAGGTTCCGATGATTCCGGGGGCCGTTGTGCCTTGTAGACATAGGAACTCTTCTGTGTACAGATTGTAGTTCTGCAGTACACCGGGTACCTACAGGTTACCCACATGGTGGAGTAGGTATAGGGGCACTGGATTTCAAGAGATAAGTGGTAATAGATTACCCTTACAGCATGATTTGGGTTGACTTGAACTTGAAAAATGCACATAGAAGTTTGCTTTGCTCTTATATGAAATTTGTCATAGCACGGCAATTGTCTCGTCTTTTCACGTGGTAGAAAAACTTTAGCAGTCTCCTGCAATATACTGGATTTCAGGGATATGTTGTGATAAACTATTTTGCAGGCTGATTTAGGGACCTGACTGGGTTAATGTAAAATAGTTGTAAACCCTTACATACACCCAGTGAAGTGACTGGCCTCAGGGTACTGTTTATCTATAGCTATCTGTGCCCTATTATTATTATTATTACATCGAGTTTATATAGCGCCAAAGGGTTTGCTCAGCGCTGTACAATAGGGGGGACAATACATGGCACAGTACAACAAAAACAGACAGGGTACGAGGGGTAAGAGGGCCCTACTCTGGGTTTTGAGGGAGTGCCTGAATGTGGGGAGGGAAGGCGACAGTCTGGTGGATTGGGGCAGTGAGTTCCAGAGGATAGGGGAGGACCTGGAGAAGTCCTGCAGTCGTGCATGGGAGGAGGAGACCAGGGAGCAGGATAAAAGGAGGTCCTGTGAGGAGCGAAGGGTACGGGTAGGGCGGTACTTGGGGATCAGGTTGGTGAGGTAGTCAGGGGCAGTGTTATGAATGGCTTTGTAGGTCAGGATTAGAAGTTTAAATTTGATGCGTTGGGCAATCGGGAGCCAGTGGAGGGAGAGGCAGAGGGGGGTGGCAGAAGTGGAGCGGGTGGTGAGGTGGATGAGTCTGGCCGCTGAGTTCAGGATGGTCTGGAGCGGGGAGAGCCTGCACTTGGGTAGGCCAGTGAGAAGAGAGTTGCAATAGTCAAGGCGTGAGATGATGAGGGAGTGTACAAGAAGTTTGGTGGTGTCCAGGGTGAGGAAGGTACGTATCTTGGCAATGTTGCGGAGATGGAGCCTGCAGGTGTTTGTAAGTGATTTGACATGAGGCAGGAAGGAGAGGTTTGAGTCAAGAATGACGCCAAGGACTTTGGCTTGCGGGGGGCGGGAATGATAGTGGTGTTGGTGGTGGTGATGGATAGGCTGGGGGGGGGGTGTGGGCAGGGGGAAAGACGAGGAGTTCGGTTTTGGAGAGGTTAAGCTTGAGGAAATGGAGTGACATCCAGTCTGAGATGTCGTTTAGGATTATATAGCCATTCAAAGTGTAGAAATTATACAGGATCTCTCAGCTCTGAAAAGCAGAGGGTGGGGAGCTGAAGTTACATCAGTGAGAAGAGCTCTGAAAGCTGATTGGAAAGAAGGGACACTCCCCTCTCCACACAGCACACAGGAACAAAGCTGAGGCTGTCAATCACAGGCTGTGCCCGCCCCATCACATTTTTTTTCTTGGTGTCCAGAAAACTTATCAGAAGTGACTCATGCAGATAGCAGAGGAATGAGGCAGCAGACAGAAATGACATGTTATTACTCGGGACAGAGACAAGTACACACTATAGAGGGATATGCTTTGTTATATTTCATGTCTGAGGTTTACAACCACTTTACCCTCTTCCCGACCGCACTATAGAAGAACTACTGCTACAGGACAGCAGGGCTGCACAAAATCACTTATATATACGTGGTTTTGTATTTTTAGGTAGGGGATGGCTTCAGCTGTCGATCACTGGGTCCTGGCCAGGGATTCCCTGTGCCCATCAGTGCTGCCTATCAGTGCTGCCTATCAGTGCAGCCTCATAAACACACATCAGTGAAGGAGACAAATTACCTGTTTGCAAAATTTTGTAACAGAAACAAAGAAAAAACTTTTTTTTTTCTTTTTAATTTTTTTGCTCTTTTTTTTGTTTATAGCGCAAAAATTAAAACACGGCTCGTAAATACCACCAAAACAAAGCTCTATTTGTGTGAAAAAATTATAAAAATTTCATAGGGGTACAATATTGCATGACCGCACAATTGTCATTCAAAATGCGACAACACTTAAAGCTGAAAATTGGCCTGGGCAGGAAGGGGGTATAAGTGCCCTGTAGGCAAGTGGTTAATAACAAAAAGTCAAAAATATTGTTTTTTTTTTTTCTCAAAATTGTCAGTTTTTTTGTTTATAGCGCAAAAAAAATATAAAAATGCACAGGAGATCAAATACCACTGAAAGAAAGCTCTATTTGTGGGGAAAAAAGGACATAAATTTAATTTGGGTGCAGCGTTGCATCCCCGCGCAATTGTCAGTTAAATTAACGCAGTGCCGTATCGCAAAAAATGGCCTGGTCAGGAATGGGGGGGGGGGGGGGGGGGGGAGGGGAAATCCTCAGGAGGGCAAGTGGTTTAAAGTGATTGAAAAGGTTCTGATTTAAAAAAAATAACAAACATGTCATACCTACCTGCTCTGTGCAGTGGTTTTACACAGAGCAGCCCCAGTCCTCCTCTTCTCAGATCCCCTGCCAACGCTCCAGGCCCCCCCACCTGCTGAATGCCCCTGGAGAAAGTTTGCATTCCCCCTACGTGATTTTGTCAGCACAATTTTGCACACAATTCTATGTTTTGCATTCACTTGAAAGGGCTGCCCTATCCGTGTTTGTCACCAAAAAAGAAGCTTCTGTTCCTTTTGCAGGGTACAAGCTTCACGTGATTTCCTGCGATAATCGCAGCAGAATTGTATTGTGTTTGGGGCACCAGTGAAGGATAATGGCACCTAAACGCACACTGCGGATTGCGCTGAGACTGCCACGCAATTTGGTGTTACTGTTCACAATTCGGAATCACGGGTAGAATGACCACAGTTCATGTGAATGGGCATTAGTAGAACTGCAAGCTCTAGCAGTCTCCTGTAACATAGCAGCAGTCTCTGGCCGTGTTTTGTAACTTTTTCAGCTGTCTTCTATAATTTGTCAGCGGTCTTCGGCAGCCTTCTGGGATTTAGCAATTGGCACTAGCAATGTTCTCCCAGTCACTGCTACATTATTTGTGTAATAAAACAGACTGCTCCACAGTATTTTGCTACAATGTAATGTTTACAAAATGTATCAGGAAAATGTTACATGTATCTAGGGATCTGCATCAATAATTAAATATCTGTTGTAATCCTAAACTTGTATCAGTTTCCTTTTCTTTGTTTTATTTATACATACATACATACACATAAATAACTTTTTAAAACCTAATTAAACGCTTTCCTGCTGCACTATAGCAGAAATACTGCTAGATAGGGGCAGGGGTGAGCAAAATCACATGTATATACACGTGATTTTGCACTTTCGGGTAGAGGGGAACACGTGAGCCCTACCCTCGCCACCATTCGTGGCCTCAGCTGTCCATCGCCGTGTCCTGGCTGGACAAAAACGGGTGTAACCGGATAAAAACAGATCTAAACGGGTGAAAAACGGACGTAAATGGATGTAACCGGATGAAAAAACTGATGTAAACTGATGAAAAGCAGCTATAAATGGATTAAAAATGGATGAAAAACAGACAAACAGATGTAACCGGACAAAAACAGATGTAAACGGACCAGGGGCGAACTGACAACTCAAGGGCCCCCGGACAATAGGGGATCATGGGGCCCCGTATCCTTGCCCAAACTCAAAAAAGCCTATGAAAAAGGTACCAGGGGCATCTCATGGGGCCCCCTACTGACCTTGGGCCCTTGGGCAGTGCCCGAGTTTCCAAATGGTCAATCCGCCCCTGAAACAGACGTAAATGGATGTGAGAGGATGTAAACTGATAAACCGGATGTAAACGGATGAAAACACAGACAGACGGATGTAACCGGACAAAAACAGATGTAAAAAGAAAGAGGCACTTGTAGGTCAGACAAATATAACATAACAGTTATAATGAAATAACCACAAATGTCTTTTCTGTGCTCTCAGCATTATCAGTTTTATTCAACCCCCAAGTGACATTCAATCTTAGTACTTAGTACAGCATCCTTTTACAGTTTAACAGCTTTTAAACGTGAAGCATAGCTTGACACAAGTGTCTTGCAGCGATCTACGGGTATCTTCGCCCATTTCTTCATGGGCAAAGGCCTCCAGTTCAGTCACATTCTTAGGCTTGCGCACTGCAACTGCTTTCTTAAGTCCCACCAGAGGTTCTCAATCGGATTTAAGTCTGGTGACTGCGATGGCCACTCCAAATGTTCCAGCCTTTCCTCTGCAACCATGCTCTAGTGGACTTGGAGGTATGGCTTGGGATCATTGTCCTGTTGAAAGTTGCCAACGTCTCCCAAGCCTCAGGTGTGTGACGGACTGCATCACGTTTCCATCCAATATCTCCTGGTACTGAAGAGAATTCATGGTACCTTGCACACGCTGAAGCTTCCCTGTACCTGCAGAAGCAAAACAGCCCCAAAGCATGATTGACCCTCCACCATGCTTCACAGTAGGCAAGGTGTCTTCTTTTCATCATAGGCCTTGTTCTCTTCCTCCTCCAAACATAGCGTTGATCCATGGGCCCAAACAGTTCTAATTTTGGTTTTCATCAGTCCACAGAACACTATCCCACAACTTTTGTGGTTTGTCCACATGGCTTTTGGCATACTGCAGTCGACTCCTTCTTATTCTTTGGAGACAGCAAGGGGGTACGCCTGGGAGTTCTGGCACGGAGGCCTTCATTACGCAGTGTGCGTCTTATTGTCTTGGGCTGAAACTTCTGTACCCACATCTGACAAATCTTTTCTCAGTTCCTCCAGCAGTCACACGGGGACTTCTCTCCACTCTAACGCTTCAGGTAGCGCACAGCAGTCGAAGTCAGCATCATCTTTCTGCCACGACCAGTAGCGTTTCAACAGTGCCCTTTGCCTTGAATTTGCGAATGATGCTTCCTAAGGTGTCTCTTGGTATGTTAACATCTTTGCAATCTTCTTATAGCCATTGCCCTTCCTGTGAAGAGAAATCACCTCTCTCCTTGTCTTCCTGGACCATTCTCTTGCCTTCACCATGTTTGTAACCACACCAGTAAATGGTCTAGAAGGAGCTGAGTATCACAGTCATTTTAAAGCTGCCTAATTGGTGCTTATTATGCTTGATTGCTGCTCGGTGACATCCACAGGTGTTTTCAATACCTGATGGAAAGCACCTGTATGAAACCTCTGTTCTTCAGAGTGGTAGTCTTTAAGGGGTTGAATAATTGTGGCAATGAAGAACCACATAAGAACCATTTACTACTGTATTACATAAACAATTGATGTCATTTTAGTTGCATTTGGGTAGTTACAACGTCCTTGTAGGATTTGATTCTGAATACAATTCCAAATGTACACTATAGTCCCTAAACCCCTTTACAGCATGGGGGTTGAATAATTTTGGTCACAACTGTAAATGGATGTGACAGGATGTAAACTGGATGAAAAAACTGATGTAAACTGATGAAATATGGAGGTAAACGGATGAAAAACAGATGTAACCCGGACAAAAAAACGTATGTAAATGAATGAAAAACAGACATAAATGGATGTAAACAGATGAGAGAAAACTGGTTACATCCATTTACGTCCCATTTTCTTCTGTTTTTCATCCCGTTACATTATTCCGTTTTTTCAGCCACATTCATCGTTTACATACGTTTTTTTTTATCTGTTCCATTTTTTTTTTTATGGAAGAAAAGTAGGGTTTTCTTCCCTTCAAAAAAATGGATGCTGTTAATGGATACAGACATTAACGGATGTAAACGGATGATCATCCATTTACATCTGCTAGTCCATAGAAATACATGGGTGTGTCCGATTGAAAATTTTCTTCTCAAACGGATTTCCAACAGTGAATGTGATTTTTCTTCAGGAAAGTCAATTCATTCCAAAATTGATTGTTAACCACTTGCCCTCCACCCTATAGCAGAAGTACTGTTTACAGGGCAGCACAGCTGCGCAAAATCATGCGTGTGTATATATATACGTGATTTGCATTTCTGGGTAGGGGGCGCGTGCGCACCGCCCTACCCGCACCGCTATATGCAGCTGGGGATGTCAATCTCTAGGTCCCGGCTGGCAATTCCCAGCTGGCACTTAGTGATCATCGGCAAAACTGACAGGGTGTAAACACAGGTCTCTCGCCTGCAGGGGCGGACTGACAACTCATGGGGCCCCCGGGCAATTGGGGATCATGGGGCCCCTGTGTCCTTGCCCACACTCAAAACACACCCAAAAAAGCCTATAAAAGGTACCAGGGTATTTTATGGGGCCCCCTACTGACCCTGGGCCCTCGGGAAGTGCCCGAGTGTTCGAATGGTCAGTCCGCCCCTGCTCTCCTGTCACCATGGACCATGCTGCTTTGTATCTCTGCACAGCAGGGCAAATACAAAGCAGCATGTCTCCAAAGTAAAACTGCACACAATGTAAAACACACAGCACGCAGTTAACCTGTTGATCGCCCTAGATGTTAACCCCTTCCTACCCAGTGTCATTAGTACAGTGTCTGCTTTTTATTAGCACTGATCACTGTATTAGTGTCACTGGGGATGTCAAATGGCAGTTCCCACCCAGTGTCAGAATGCCTGCCGCAGTCCTGCTATAAGTCGCTGATCACCGCCATTACTAGTAGTAGAAAAATGAAATAAAAATTCCAGTGTATATATACCGCCATTTGTAGACGCTAAAACTTTCATGTAAACCAATTAATTTACATCTGTTGGGATATTTTTAGCAAAGACAATGTAGCAGAATACATTTTGGAGTAAATTTATGAAGAAATTTTAATTACATTTTTTTTTACTTGATATGTTTTATAGCAAAAAGTCAAAGGTTTTTTTTTTTTTTTCTTTTCAAAATTGTCGGTCTTTTTTTGTTTATAGCGCAAAAAATAAAAAACGTACAGATGATCAAATACCACCAAGCTCTATTTGTGGGGAAAAAAAATTACATAAATTTCATTTGGGTGCAGCATTGCATGACCGTAAAAAAAATGGCTTTGGTCAGGAAGGAGGGGGTAAATCCTCAGGAGGGCAAGTGGTTGGAGTACACGGGGCTCTTTTCTTGGGGCTTTGTGTTCCCAGCACAGGGGTCACGGTGTTGCGTGGATCCCATCCAGT